TCTTACTATATTTCATTAAATTAAAGAAATCCTATACGAGAATCTATCATCATGTGATCTATCAGAGATTAAGTATAGAACATGTAACAAAAACCTTGTGGTTCCCGTTAACTGCGTTATCAGAATCAGTATCCAAGCATATAGAAATAATTTAAAAAAAACATATTTAAAAATTTAATTTTAATGAAAAAAAAATAATTTGCATATTGTATGTGGTTTTATTATCTCTGCATTGGCCGAGGAGTAAGAGGATTGTTAAAGACCCCGCATTACAGATACTAGTGTGAGTTAGAGGAAATAAAACCACATACAACTTGCAAATTAAATTTTTTTCATTAAAATTATTTTTAATGTGTTTTTTTGAAGAAAAAAATATTTCTATATGCTTGGATACTGATTCTGATAACACACTTAACGGGTACCACAGGGTTTTTGTTACATATAGTATAATAGCTAAGTTTAATCAACTTGTCTCGCTTAAGGGAAGGTTATTATGTAACAATATTTAAGTAATCAGCGAGACGTCTGATATATTAAATATCTACAGAATTTTTCTTAACGATCTTAAAGAACAAAGGTGCAAAACATTAAGAAGAAAATGTAATCTTCTTCTTCTAGACTGATAACGATTGTAAATAACACGATCGTCCAATACTCCGTCGAACATTCGGTTTGGTGATGTGTGCAAGTTAGATACTTCCACTAAGTTCGCTTGGGATCTGTAGCAGTGGCGAGATTAAATAATTGATACTACATATATTAAGTTTAGTTTGACCAAATCCATCAATCTGAACAAAAGCAAGAGACTATCGTTACTAACGTATTGTTGCGCGCCTAAGTTGATGTCTGGTACCCGGCACTAGCGCCATCTAGTGTCAGGGAACAGAGCGAGGAGGGCTTCCTAGAAAATGCCAATCTTGAACTTTCCACTAACAGCGCCATCTAGTATCGACCAGAAGAAATAAGCTTTCTAGAAGGGTCAACTATCGAACTTTCTGCACTTAGTCGGGACCGGTATTTGCTGCAACATTCTGGATGTTTCGGTGGAAAAGGTGTAATTAAAGCCGCTGCAAGGCGTGATCGGGGCAGTATTGAATTGGAGATACAAGCGAAGCTTCGGAGCGAAATAAAGTGAACTAAAAGTGATTAGTGTGATTAATTATTAGTGTTTTTTTAAAGTTTTAATTGGTGTTCGGTAAATTAAGTGTTAATTTTGGTAATTCAATCAGCAGTTTTTATTGTCACGAACCTAAAGCTCGTAACAGTATTTTTTACGCTAGCATAGTGGCAGATCTATAGATGAAATTTGTTTTTATATTACATAGTTACAAAGTTTGTGCTTTTATTATTTGTCTCACAGAAGCAATGAGTAGCCTATGACGGTAGATCTCCCCTTACAGGCTACGCATCGCTTCTGTCTCCGCAGTGCGCTTTTGTATGATCCATCGCGATTCAAATATTCGCGAAATTAATTTTTACAATTTACCTACTTTGGCATCGTCAGCCATTAAAAAGGAGGATATTCTTAATTCGATTGCATTAAAATGGCGAAGATATCACGAATAATTTGTTGTAAACGTTTTTAATAATTTTCTTAAATACGTCAGGGGTCACATACAAATTAGAAGAACTCATAACAGAAATAGAGGTGACGTTTTTAATATAACTACTTCCACAACATTGTAGTGTTGTTACCGTGAGCTTATTCATATATATATATATATATATATATATATATATATATATATATATATATATATATAACTAATGACTAGTCGTTAAATACAGCCGCAATAGCCTAATAACCTCTGGTAAGTGTAGAATTTTTTTTTATATATATATATATATTCTAAGCCAATCAAAACTTGGTGGTTTTTAAAATCGTTAAGAAAATGTATCGACAGTCTTATTACATTTGAGTACAATATTAATAAATTGTAAAAAAAAATTACATGCAAACACAAACAAACAGAACTTACCTTGACAGAAACTGCTGCCAAAAAATGTGGTGTGTTAGCACAAGTCACAAATACGTGAAATAAAACAAAATCGGTTATTAACAATATTCTTGTTGCTACGGTGCAAACACAACACTAAAGTGTTATTTAGGTGCAAACTTCTTATAATAATATTTCAAACATATATTTACCACAAACAAATTACAGTAAGGCATCTATCAATTTAAACACAAATAACTATATGAAACAACCTCTCAGATTGAGAATAGTCAAGAAGTAGGACGTATAATATATATCCTACATCTTGGCTATCTGTAATGTTATTTTACTATTAAATAAAACAAAATATTTTAAATTACACATTTTATTAAATTATCACCTTGATATACAGATAAGTACCTTTTTTAATTGTACATATACATTGACTATATAGCACTAGCAATAATAACAAGACAGTACAAAACGCTGTACAATACTAGATAACAACAATTTTAACACCATAAAAAATGTTGATGATTGTCTCTGTTTGTCAAAATAATTTAAAAAGTACGCGGTCTATTTAACAAATAAAATGACGGATATTGTCCAAAAATTACATTATGCAAAATTTTATTGTGCCTCAGTTACAACTAATGAAACTAAAATTACGAGAACATAAATTTTATTTATGGGTCTACTCGAACGGGTCTTACGGGTCCATCTGAACAGGAGAACGATCGCCGTAGAAAATAGTGTCCCAGAAATATGGACACCATCAGTGAGGCGCTGCGATCACTAAGTTCGGTCAATAAAAGTCATTTTCAGTCTATTTTTCCGATCAGATGCTCAACCACTTGCACATCCACGCACAATAAAATATTTCTCCATTTTTTAATGTTTCTTTTTGTCAAAAATTACAAAATTACGGAGCATGAAATTTTCTACGAAAAAATGAAATGAAAATTTGTACATTATTCCAATAACTTCACCTACTTGTACAGTCATTTTATCTGTACGAGTAATTCATTTATTATAAAACTTGCAATCGCTGAGGATCGTATAGTGCCAAAAACTAGCATTAGGTAATTATTTTAATGGCAGTTGAACAGAGACTAATCATCAAAGAAATATTTTAGCGGAAGGCTAATGTAATTTTTTTCCTTAAATATAGTCGAAGCTTATAGTGTATATTGTTTATAAATGCAAGTTGTAAATACAATATTTCAAAGATTATAACAGACTATTCTATTCTTATCTTATGAGGTTTTAATTTATTTGTTTTAAAGGACATTATATTCAGAGGTGAAAAAAAATCGAGTCTTAATAAATCATAACGATCTGCTTCAGACAGTACTTTTCCTACTTAAAACTAAAAAAAAAAGACTAAAATACTCTACTAAAAATCGACAGAATTAAAGCAATAAGAGATTAAAATAGTTAAAATGGCAGATTCTCTTAAGATTGTTTGAGTAAACTATAAGAGTGGAGTCACTAATTCATCGAATGTTACTTAATTTTAAATATAAAATTTATACAAGAATTAATAGATTCGCTGTTCATCATTAAAAACTACATCAGTCTATGGGTACAGTAAACGTATATTGTATATAAAGGATAAATTTAATAGGTTAATGGCCACTATCATAATGAGCAAAATAAACACCTGCAACCTTAATTAAAATGACTCTAAAAATATGACTTTACATTAAAATAAATAAATTACCTATGTTACTATGGCAGTAGGTTAGGTATTTTTAATTTTCTTAAAAATTATCTATATCTCAACGCATTTAAACACGACAAAATAACTGCAGGAATAAGTATGATTCGCCTAGATATTATAATATTATAGTAGTTTAAAATATAAAACATAGTTGTGAATTTCTTCATTTTTAATGTCCAACATTTAAATATACAATTTAATACTTGAATTGCGAATGTCTTTTTACCGAAAGAATTCTCTTAGCTGCGGCGCCAGTCTTCATGAAAATTGTCATTTGCTACTAAATTTTACTTACGCGGGACTTCTCTCTTGAATTAGACTTAAGCCCGAGATAAATAATTATAAAATACTTTTTGTAATAAGACTGACAATTCATGTAATTGAATTTTTCTAAAGCATATCTATGGCAATATGTTATTTTGGTTAATATGTTGTTTAAATAAATCTCGAGATAATAAAATTCAAACTTACTCTTATTGTCTACTATGTTTTATATGATTATAATATTGCGAAGCACCAAGTACAAAAAATACAATACTGCTAAAATAGAGAGCTACATGTAGAAAAGATATAATAATAAACTTAGTTGGTTGAAAAGGACCATCTGTCACTTGCCTGGTCCGTAATTATTTTATATTTGATAAATATTCATTTAAAAATTTAAATTGCTAGCAAAATTATCAAATCGACAAAACACCTAATACTGGTATCGGTTCTTTTAGTGTAAAATAATGTAAATTTTGATTGACATTTAGAAACATACGTACAGCTCGTTTTATAAAAAAATTGGTAGGGACCATAGGTATGTATTATGCACATCACAAAATAGGTTCCAGGCCAGTATATAACCAATTTATTTTAAATAAATTCTATTCACACGTGCTCTACAACCCCCTCAGAAATGTACCTAAGGAGACTTAGAGTTCATTAGTGGGAGATACGTAGGTTGTTGGTTATTTTAAGTATGTAGTATTTTTAAACCAGTAAAGTATCCCTTGCATTAATTTTAATGGAATAGATCTGCCTTTTTTAGGATCGAATGCTCTATTTTCTACACTTTTAGAGAGTAAAATTTGGCATGATTTATTGTTAGGGTATCTTATCACTCATATGTTGTATAAATGTTTATCACTATATTTCACGACACATCATTAAATTCTTTAAAAGAGTATAGAACTGGTAGTCGGGATTGTGCGGTTTCAGGCATAACTACGTTTACACAAATACATCATACTCGTAAGATGAACACTTTCACCCTAACACCTTTCAATGTCTTCAAATAAACAAACATCAATATTTTAGCAAATTTGTGACATTTGGCTATAAACACTTCTTACATTCTAACAATGTTTCTCTTCGCTCTGCATTTGCTGCATTTGTTGGTGGACCTCATACGTCGATATTGTTATGTTCGACGTCTCGGAAGTTAGATGGGTAATTTCTACCTGTTATAGAAATATGCCAGTTGAATATCTTGTCACAACTAAATTCAAAGAACGTTAAATTCAAAACTATAATACATATAATAAAAAATTCTAATATTAAAATAAAAATGAATATTTAATTGACGTTCTTGTAAGTACTGACTAGACTTTAGACTTACTTCTGTTACAGTATTTAACATGCTAAATCATAAAGCAGACTGCATTATCCGAAATGAATGAGGATCGATGGCGTCATACATGTATATTGTTAAATGCAAATGCAAGATTAAATTATTAATTAGGTAAATCGTGTAACTTTGGTTAGATTGTAAAATGCGCTCCATTACGTCTGAATCGTCCCTTAAAGCGTTTTAGATGAATGACCACGTGACATAGCAATCAGCGAATTTACTGTGCAGTAGGTTCCAGGTTCAATTCCTAAACGAGTATTTGAGAATGTAGACGGTTAATTATTTTCATTGTACTCTAAACATGTCTTGCAATCGATTCTTTAGGTTTGGTAACAGACCATCAGCGTGATGAGACGATAAAATACGTAAAGCACCTGTATTTGCGTATAAGTACATTTGCTAAACTATACTCAAATCTAAGCTCAACATACCCTCAATAGGTTTATAAGTATATGTTAAACAAGATATATAACTGTTTAAAGTAACAACAATAACTTCGAATCTTACCTTTTAATTTTCAACCTTCTGATTTATTATGAAAAAAAAATCTGCTTTAAGCTAAGCAGCAGTAAATCATTTTAAAAAGCTTTCTACCTTTCTGCTGTGATAAGCCTTAGTCTAGGTTTGTTTACGTGTGAGAGATGCATTATTCATGTTCACGCGTACGCGAACGGTCTACGCGAATTACTTAAATTCATTTTATGCATGTGTTTGTGTGCCTTGATAAAAAAATTGTAAATAATATCATTTTCCACTACCGCTATATTAAGTTATTGTTTCCTTTTATTTCCATGTATAGATTACGTAGGTAAAAATATGGATGTAGTCTTACACTGAAAATGTGTGAAGTACCTTAAGTCCTACAATTTTGAAATAAAACAAATGGCAATTGGCACAAATATGCAGCGTTTGAGCCCTGATTGTTTTTTTTTTGTTGTTGTTGTTGATTTAAGTCTGATTGTAACACCTCCACGTATTTGTGTGCGTGTAAAATTGTACGACCTAGAGTGTTTCAAACATTTTCAGTGTAACAAGCGTATTTTTTTAAGCACGTGTGTATTACACAACTACGTAAAAGCAGTAGGTTTTACAAGCAAAATGGTTTGACAGTAATAGTTGTTCTTGTTATTTTTGCTATATTTATAGTTTTCAAACTTACTTATACTCATATTCTCTAAATCAAAACAGATTCCTAATGTAAAATCAAAATGGTTTAGAATATAAATACTTCTACTGGATGGGATCACCAGCTTTAATACATTGTGTACTTAGTTACGATTAATTCTCCTTAACTCCCTTAGTTTATTGAGAGGGCGCAAGTAAACTAGTTCTTTGTGTTGTAAACCGTGAACTTTGTTTTCGACAATCTTTATGTGCCCATTTTGTCTACGCTGGTGAAATTTATTTTAGATAAGTAGGTACGGCCACCTACTGCCGTGAAAGTTTTTGTTCTGAATTGCCGGTTTCATAGTATTCATAGTATATATAGAACTCTGTTAAAATTTGAGATAAGTAAACCTATAGCTTTACTTCGACTTTGTCTAATATGGCTTTACCTTGAACACATTGGGTGGCAAATAAATTATAAAAAATCTAAACTATAAGCATGGATCTCTCCATGCTTATAGTTTAGATTTTTTATAATTTACGTAAAATAACTAAAATTACGTATCATACGTACGTAATTTTGTATATACTTACGGTAAAAAATAACCTTACCCTAAGTAATATTATTATTGGGTATATGTCTGACATATTTATAGGTATACTGGGTTTTATACGTGGTAGAGCCATGCTGCAGTTATATTAGTAGTATAGTTGTAGCACGAAAGGGTCGGCTCGACCGGAGAGGGACCACGCTCTCACAGAATACCAGCGTAAAATAGTAGCTTAATGCTGCCTGTGTTTCGTATGGTGAGTGTAGAGAACCGGAGACTCTTTCTACTGGAAAAGAGAGAGACAACGCATCTGCATTTTGATTCGTAATCGAGGATAGACGCAGATGTCTGTGGGCCACAGCAACCACTTACCAATAGGTGGACTGTACGCTGGTTTGTCACCCTATCCTATAAAAAAATACTAATTAGGCAAAACGTTTTTTCAAATGTTTATTCTACACTTTGATCGCCTTAAATAGTTAACAACAACAGAATATACAATGTTATATTGATATAGTTACAACAACGACAATAACAGATTAGTTTTTGAACACAAGCCAGCAATCTTGTTCATGAGACCATCTAATGTATGACAGCGTCTATGTATTATAAAAATAAAGTATGTAAGCACAAACAAAAAAAATTATTTCGCATCAAACGAAATAATTTTCAATTTACCACAAAAGGCAAAGGCATCTTCAGTTTAAATCCAAATAACAACATAAGCAAATATTTTTATGGTCTCAATTAACAAGAAAAGCTGCATTTTAATAGATCTGTAAGTATTTTTGAAATGATGATATAAGTTAGTGGATACGCATAACGTCGATAACGGGCTATAAAGGTTTTGAGATTAAAGTATAAAAACAAATATTTTGTCTATATGCGTGATCAGTATTTAAAAATTAAAAAATTGAGTCATTAAATTTTAATTACAAGAACCATCGATATATATGTAATACGCACTAGATTTCGCACTCCGAATACACACTTTGTTCAACTGAACTGTACTCCAATCCATACAACTTACTTTAGTGTCGTTTTAATGTGGCTTCGATATTTGCGGAGCGGCGCTACTAATACGAAAATTCAAATCAAAGCTTGAACCTGGACGTAAATTACAATTCAGTAGTCTAACTAAAATTATTTGTTGTTCAAGTGAAAAAATTGATTATAATATCGTAATACCACAATAAAATTAAATATTCTTTCATTTAAATGCTACGCCATCTACAATCATAGACCAAAAGATGCAAATGTTCCATTACAAAACCGATATATATGTTTTATTCCTCATGTTTTAATATTTTACAGCTAACTTTTAAAATATTCAAAAAATATAATTGTGACATAATATTATGTAAAATTATATTGAATTGACAGATTTCATAGAGCGAAAGTTAAATAATTATGAAAATATAAAGTAGTTCTTTCTGAAATATTAGTTGTATTATATATTAATCAAATAGAAATGAATAAACCAAACTACGAATATTTCTGAAAATAAAAGGATTACAAATTTTGAAATATACAAAAAAATTATAATTATATAATTTATAAAGAAAAACTAGAAAATGGAAAACTTTTATTTGTAACGCAACTTTTTGCATAAAGTGACACTGGTGACCGGTAAATTATTACCCCCTATTTATACGAAGATCACACAACTAAGACTATGGTTTGAAAACAGTAAAAATACTTACAGATCCCGTTATATTTTATACCTCACATTATTATATTAACAGACGAAAAAGCGGTTTATATGTACTTATGAAGCGAATAAATTGCTTTGTTAGACAACCTTTTATTTTTATATTCGAGTTAACACGAATATCGTCAATATCAACTTGGTCAATTTCGATAATGGCCACCTTGATATACGCAGAATGGATTATTGTAACAATTTTTATAAAAGTCGGCATGAATTCTAAAACCTGGACGCTGGTAGTAAAAGTTTGTTTGCGCAGAACTATTTAAACTTATTACACGTTATTATATTCAAATACGTTAATTATAAACAGCAATCACTGACTATCGAACGAACAACGAAACCAATAGGGGACTTTCGATACACTTTATCTCTTATCATAAACTCACCTCGAGTATGACAGATTTTATGGCGGGGGAAATTAAATTGTTAGGAAAACGTAAGAGTTGATTTTTCTCTCCGAATATAAGTAATATTTTATATTAATTAGATTTGAAATGGATAAACCAAAATACGGGTATTCCTAAAAGTATAGGAATTAAAAAGACAGTTAAAATGTGCAAAAAAGTGAATAGAAAGTCACTGAGGCATTTTTTGTGTATTTATATAGTCTAGAAACCCATAAACTTTTATTTAAAACGCATCTTTTGAAATAAAATAACGTTGGTTAAAAATAACTTTATCTTAGTTTCAACCAACGACATCTAGTGAGCGGAAGGTTATTAGCCTTATTGCTTAGTGTGATTACTGTTTAGTCTACGATCAACAATACCAACTAGATAACGGGTCACATACAAAATCATAGCTAAATACTGTCCGCATGAATATAAACTATGAAAAGACATACATTAAATAACATTTAGTGTGAAATCAACCTTAAGTTATAACAAATAAAGTTCTTTTTCGCGTTATTGCCTTGCGAGCTACACTCACATGCAAGAGCTCACGTCTCATGTGCGCTCTTATTTACTAAGATGGATTTCTTGCGCCGACCCGACATCTAGTTGCTATTGTTGATCGAAGTGTTTAGTATTGCTACTCCAACGTCTCACTCTTTTTACGGACCAGGCCTAAAATAGTTACAGCGCAATCTCCAAGAAGTAAATGTCAGGTCTCAAAATTCGTACCGACTGTTGCACTTATGCACTATCAGTTCCAAAATTTATTGTTGTACATGACTTTAAATTTACATGACGTTAAATGACTACAAATTCACACACAGCTCTAAAAATTTCAAATGTCCATGGAATAAAATTATTAGCAGAAAACACGAACAAATTTATTACAAAACGTTTATTACGTAAATTTGTACTATGAAAACGTATATAAACATTAAATGCAATATTCTAGAATCCGTGTAATTATGGCTCAGTTCATTTTTTTAAGAAAGCCAAAGTAAATGACTCGATTCTGCTTATGCAGTTTCTATATATCAATAAAATAATCATATTAAAAAAATAACAACTCGCTTTCAATCTTATTATTTTTCTACTACTGGCATGGAAAATATTCATTTATAAAACTTGGCTTGAAGTGAATAACGAACATGAAGATTAAATAAACATTTGCTTGTAAATGAATTATATCAGTTATAAATAATTAATAATTATTATACATAGTATCTATATGCCTTTTTAAAAGCTTGCTAAAATAATTAAAAATCTTGTCTGAATAAGTGGTGTGATATATACTTAATAAAATGGTAACTCTGAGAATAGCAATTATCAATATCTAATAGTGTTGCGGTATACGCAATATAAATGAATGTTTTTAAACAGTATACAAAAATAAGGAGGTCCTAAAAACTACATTTTTGTCTAATCAAAATTTATAATAACCTATGTATTTAATTAAGTCATGGGTCCAATATTTTGGCATCGAGACAAAATTATGTCGGTGTTGTGTAAATTTTTAACAAGCTGCCGGAAATTTTTTAATTAGTCTATTTACTTACACAGGAAGTAAATAAAAATACAAGCATTCACTTATTACATTATCTTGATTTCACATTAAAATGCATTTTGCGTACAAATTGAAATAAAAACCTGAGCCACTTACAAACAGTCAAGTATTGTTTCTTTGCATTCCTAATGGAAGCGCCCATCAAATTATTTCCGTTATAAATGGTAAACAGTAATTATTGTTTATCTAAAGGCTAGCGCCAAAACTTTTTATAAACCAGACTTAAAGCGATCGGTTATATAAGCTTAATCATTTATAATCTTTGTCTACTTTTTCTTTTAAGTGCAACTATATCACCCACCATTTAAGCAGCGTCCGAAATAAAAAAAATATAGCATTATTGTACTTGCAAATGCACTGAAACATAAATAATTTTATAAATATACCTTTATATATAAGGCTGCAAAATAGAATACCCAAAAAACCAACGGTAATCCTTAAAAATATATAAAAATAAGTCAATAAGTTACGATGTATATACTTAAGAAACTTTGTAACAAAAGTAGAATTCAACTACATACACTTAACAATATACTAAATATACTTAACGTTACCGTTAATTTTTACAATTTGTATTATTTAAAAGCGTTTAAATATCTAATGCGACCGCGAGGTGTAACTGAACCCTTCACCTATAAGTGCAAGGCTAAGTTAGTGACGTTGCTATATTCGGCGGTACGGTTAATAGGATCACAGATAACACAGAAAAATAATAAACAATTTAAAAAAAAATTCAACCACGCGTATGTAACTTTGCATTAAAACTTACATTAATTGCAACCTAAAACAAATTTTAAGTTTGATGGTGAACCTTCTTGATCACATTTTTTTTTAATTAAACCTTTCCCTGTGCAATGAATCATATATGAACAATTCGCTTGTTTAACTATTGCGTCTGTTTCGCGGACAGGGAACCTGTTAATAAACACGATAATCCCATTAACCGTACCGCAAGCCTTTCACCATTCATACCAGCAAGTTTTGACTTACCACTTCACTGGTGAGGCAATTAATGGTGGTAGGTGGAGCGACGCGCGCGGGGGGCGGTGGTGCGCGTGGTGACCGACGCCCGTCGTTTGGAGTAGCACCACGGGCAGGAGTTATGGGGTAGCCTGGATATATGATATTAAGATACCAAAATTAACTTCATCCTCAGCAATCTTTACCATCACCCGTAAATTCCACAGCTGGATATGGGTCTAAATAATACTGGTTTTTACGGATTTTTTCGCGTGTATTTAACTATAAATACCCGACGTTTCGAGCGCTTTACAGTACCCATGGTCACGGGGGGGGGGGGGGGGGGACTGAGATGTGCAACGTACAGATGTCATAGTTAACCGCGGTTACCATAGATTAAAATTTAAATTTTGTTCCGATCTACACAGTATGAACTTATGGTATCTTGAAGTCTTGCAGTTGTATGCTTGGGTTGGGATTTAATTTAATTTATTATAGGATCCCAAGCGGATGGTAGCAACTCAGCCATCTTCTCTATTGAAATTAGAATGTTTTTTGATTTCAATCGCCTCGCGGATCATCCTTGGAAGGAATCGGTGTTCTTTAGCGAGGATTTGTGGTCTATCAAATCTGATGTAGTGACGGGGGCGATCCTGTACGTGTTCACAGAGTGCAGACTTCAGATGGTAACCGCGGTTAACTATGACATCTGGACGTTGAACATCTCAGTTGCCCCCGTGACCATGGGTGCTGTAAAGCGCTCGAAACGTCAGGTATTTATAGTTAAATACACGCGATAAAATCCGTAAAAACTAGTATTATTTAAATGTGTAGTGTTCGCTTAAATATAAGAAATCATTATGGATATGGGTCTGTTTTTTTCTTCTTCTATAGGATAGGGTGACAAACGAGCACACAGTCCACCTGATTGTAAGTGGTTGCTGCGGCCCATAGACATCCACATCTATCCTCGATTACAAATCAAAATGCAGATGCGTTGTCACCAGTGAGGACTAAGATGGAATGCCTCGTTTCCAGTAAAAAGGGTTTCCGGTTCTCTACACTCACCATACGAATCACAGCAGCATTAAGCTACTATTTTACGCTGGTATTCTGTGAGAGCGTGGTCCTTCCCCGGTCGAGCTGCAGCTTGGCTCTACCACGTATAAAACGTCTGTACCGTTGTAAGGAGGATTGGCAATCAAAGTACCAGATTCTGGGTCTGGTAATTGTTTAAGGTTTGGCGTAAACGAAATAGTTATACCGTCATCTATTGCAAATTATGAAACCTTTCAGGCGTTTCCCTTAGCCACCTCTTTTGACACCCATGGAACGAAAAAAGGAATATATTGTCTTAAACAATAAAAAAAGTATTTTCACAATACGGAGGTTGTTAGCTGTATAAGAAAAGTATGTTTCTTAGTTGGGGAAGTATCTACTCATAATGGTCCGTCGGTAGGGTTATTATAACGCACTCAACGTTTTATTTATACAAAAGAAATATTTATAAAAGCCTCGGAAAGAAAAACGGTTTGCACACGATATTTTCTGTTTTCAAAAAAAGTTTCATAAGTCATTCTTAACAAATATTATTAGTAAAATACCAAACACACACTGCTGGATAAAAGCCTTTTGTAAAAATGCGTCGTGTCATACATAACTTAAAAAACGACACTAGACAGGAAATACAATATCTTACAATAGGTTATATTTTTGAATTCTATAAATTTACACTAAATAATTACTTTGAAGTAAAATATAGGTACTAGAATATACATTTAATAAGTTATTATATTATGATAACTGATTTCAGTAATAACTATAATAAAAAAAATACATTACCTTGTTCACTACTACTAGACTCTGTAAAGCTTGGCGTGCCTTCTGTCCACGTAGGCGTAGATCCTTCCACTGACGCTGGTGGTGTCCAACATACGCTGTAAAATAATAACATTCATTGTAATTATACACTTTATTAGGTTTAAAATTATTTCAATTTGAAAGTCGATACCTTCGTATTTAAATCTTAGTCTGAGCTGAATTTTTCCCTTAAAATACAACATAATTCATGAATAATAATCAATGAGCCGTTGTATAAAATCAATAAGCCGTTGTAGTTAGCTCGTTGTAAATTTTGCACTTTAAAGTTACAGTGAGCTAGAAATTTTGTATTAAGCGAGCAATACGAATTGGATCCCCGTTGGCACCTATCAAATTATTGATTGCAGTTTTTAGTACTGATTTATACGTGTTTGGTGGTGAAATAAAATATCGTGAAGGTCGCCTGTCTCCCAATATTTCGAGAGCACGTTAACTCTGCCAACACGCACTGGAGCAATTATGCGGAATAATTGCAATAAGAAGAGGTATGTGACGAGCAGTGGGACATATACTGGATAATTTTTTTACCGTCTGGAAAAAAATAGAGTATAATTGGTGAACGGAACAGAAGTCTATGGCACGGATATTTTATAATTTTTATTTTATTTTACATTAACGTATTATGAAAATGATCTATCAATAAATACTACTAATTTAGGCATTTTTATACTATCGCGGTCACCTCGTTCTTTGGCTTTTTTTAAATCTTCATTATTACGGCGGATTTACGAAAATAACTACAAGAATAAAAAACAGTGAAAACGTATCATTTAAATGTTCATGAAAATTGATTCATTCACGTATAATTGTTGATATTTTTTTTAAATAATCAAAAGAAGTTGTTATACTTTTTTTCTTAATCTACACAACAAATCGAACATTTAAAAAAAAGAAACATTGAAAAATGTTTGGTCATTAATTTTTTATTTTGGTTTTTATTGAGTGTAACATCGAGCGATACGAGCTCGGGACTTAGGGCATCCCGACTCGGAAAACAATTAAAAAATGTTTATTTATAAATTTTTTTGTTTGGTGTTTTTGAGTGTAAGATCGAGCGATGCGAGCTCGGGACTTAGGACATCCCGACTCGGACAGGTTAAGTTAGAAGGATAATAATATAAATTATATACTTTCTAAAATGAAAAATAACAAAATTTTAAATAAATCAACTAAAAACAAGGAAAACATGTAGTACGTAGCCAATTAGTATTAACCATAGGCTTTTATTCCGTTCATCTGTTTCACCCGATTTTTTTCCAGACGGTAAAAAAAATCATCCAGTATAGGCATTGAAGTAATATGTACTTACGTACTAGAACAGCTATTTCAAACAAAAAATGTGCGCTACTCTGTGTTCGCGCGGTTGTTTTTTTAATCATAGAATAAACATAGGTAGAAAGATCGTAGGTAATAATAGATTGTACTGTTAAATAGGTAAATTATATCGAGAACAATTTTTTAAATTTTGTCATTTATTTTCCATATTATATTTGCTTATTTAATATAATATTACATAATATTATATCACAATTACATTTTAATGATATTTTTATCTCAATATTTTAAAAGGTATCTATCTCAAATATATAAAAAAAAAACATTTTAAATGTGTGTTTAACAAAACTTGTTAAAATAACATTTAAATTACATATAATTATTTAAATAAGAATAAGAGTCGTTCATAAATACTGGGCACGCGAGAGTTAAAAATTGACGAATTTATTCCACTTTGACTTTGATGTGGAAACCTAAAAACAAAATATAAGAATAATTAGCAGATTGAAATATAAAAAAAATTTGGCCTAATTATGATAGCTCATATGTTTCTACAAAAAAAATGTGTATAATAATATATTCGTCCTATACTTACTCGTAAGTACCCACAGAAATGTCGCATCTGAACAAATTAATTTCATAATCTATATATTATCTATATATCCTATACCTTTAAACGGGCAATTCTTGTATATATATATATATATATATATATATCGGAATCTCGGAAACGGCTCCAACTATTTTCATATTATTATATATATAATAGGATTTAGTTTTAGAAATTTTTTTGTCCGTGTTTACATGCAATGAAAAACTGCTACAATATAAGAAGTTAAATTTTGACACCGTTATAATGATCGTTAGCTCAATTGGATGTAGAGCGGTCGCGAAATCGTAATGCCTGGGTTCGCGTGTTGTCTCCGGTTCGATTTTACTTCCTTTTTTTTTCAAGTTACCTTCTTTTGTGAGAAAATCTATTATTTCGAACCTTTTTTTAGTATCTTTAAAAATACGAAAATTTTAATTAAACTTGCACTCATAATTTCTTACTCAAATAAGCAGTTCACTTTTTTTATTATGTCAATAAGATCAAAAAATATTATTCATCAGTATGTAATTTGTATTTAAATGTAATTTCAATAAAAAACCGAGCAAAGCTCGGTCATCCGGGTACTTAATTTCATAATATATATATATATATATATATTACGTGACACGAGATGGCGTCTTAGGAAAAATTTGTTTTATTACTAATTTATAATACTTTTTTATTGATTAAGTATCTTATTAACCAATAAAAAGTAATTCCTTGGTTTTTACCAACATTTCTTGAATTATTTGTGCAATATCTAAGTACGCACGACGGCATATTATTATCACGAGATTTTTTTTAAATCAAGACAACACGTGTCAAGTCTACAAGCGCCTAGTGAGTGACTGATTAAAGTGCGGTGTATGCACCGTAGTTGAGTGGAACATAGTAGCTGAATGCAGTGTCGCCTCTAGTACGTAGTAATAGCTGTAGTAATAGCTCAATGAGTATAGGCTGTAATTTTACTACTTTTAACATTCATTTTATTGTGGGTATGTTCGCTGCTTTTATTACTTATGGACGAAGCCTTAAGGCGAAACCGATATATTTCATAAAAATAAAATGCATGATTTATGTCAATCCCATAATCATACATATAAATAAAATTGAAGTGTCTGACTGTTACATCGAAATACCTACCTTATATTGAGCTGAAGGGTTTTTTTTTATAAGATAAGGGTTACAAACGAGCGCACAGTCCACCTGATGGTTAGTGGTTGCTGTGCAGATGCGTTGTCACCGGCGAGGACTAAGATGGAATGCCTCATTTCCAGTAAAAAGGGTCTCCGGTTCTCTACACTCACTATACGAAACATTTGCATAACATTAACACATAAATAACATTTTTTGTCTATCTGGGCTTATCTTCGGAATGGTCGAGAGACAGCAATGTCAAGAATGATTTAAGTTATATTTCATCAGAAAAACTTTTTTTATATAGGAGAGGGGCAAACGATCATACGGCTCACCTGATGGTAGGTGATTAATGCCGCACATGAACAACTACAACACGAAGGGAATTGCAGATGTGTTGCCGGCGTTTTAAAAAGGAATAGACTCTTTTCTTGAAAGTCCCTAAGTCTAAGTCGTATCGGTCCGGAAAACTCACCAGAGTTTTGATTCCACAAAGAAGTTGTGCAAGGAAGAAAACTTCTTTTAAATCGCACAATGATGGACTGCCAGTCATCCAGATGTATGAATGGTATCGCGAGTTTTGTCGCGATGTGCAATGGTGAAATTGTGCGGCTGGAATTAGTCCGAACAATTCCTCAGAGCACTCCCCGTTGTAGATGCGATAAAATACGCAAAGAGATTCAACATCTCTTTGCGTATTTTATCGCATCTACAACGGGGACTCCCCAGCCCAGAGATGGGAACAGTATTCCATGTGCGGCCGAACCTGCGCCTTGTAAAGGTACAGGCGTTGAGCCGGCATGAAATATTGTCCCACTCCGCTGAGCACGCCAAGTTTTTAGGGGAGCGCCTTGAAACTGAGGAGATACGACGAAGGACTTCTTTTTAGCGGTAAACGCGCAAGCTTGTGTCTTCTGGGGATTAAACTGGACTAGATTTAGTCGTCCCTAGTCCGAGATTTTGTTCATCAAAGTCTCGACTTCAGACACAAGTTTGTCCCGGTACTCGGCGACTATTTCCCGAGAAATATATGGTATTTTACTATCTTAAATTTAAATAAGGCCATACTAAAAGATCCTATATAAATAAAGCCGGGGCAGGTAACTAGTAACAAATTAAATTATTAAAGTTTCTACGTGGTAGGCGTGGCTCTACAACTATATTATGGTTGTAGCACGAATGGGTCGGCTCGACCGGGGAAGGACCACGCTCTCACACAATAGCAGCTTAATACTCTCGTATGGTGAGTGTAAAAAACAGTAGACCCGTTTTACTGGAATCGAGGCATCCCATCTTAGTCCTCAGGGGTGACAGCGCATCTGGATTTTGATTCGAAGTTAAATATAGATGTCTATGGGCCACAGTATTTACTTACCATCACATGGACTGTGTGCTCGTTTGTCACCTTTATTCTACAAAAGAAAGTGTTTCAGTCATATCTTACCTAGCCTCGTTACTCCTCGCGCTACTTAACGCGGCCGGTGTCAATGCTAGTGATGATGCCGAAGAAGTCGTCACGACGCTAGCTGCACTAGAAGCGCCCCGTTTTCGTCCCGAAGCGCTCGATGACGTGGTAGACGATGAGTTGGTCCGACTGGTTCTCGCAGGCGGAGCTTCCTCGAAGGGAGGCGGCGGCGTTGAACAGCAAGATAACGGCGCCGTGACTGATGAAACACTAGCGTTACTACACGATCCTACTATAGCTATTTCGTTACACTAGCTATTACTGCAGGCTCGTGGGGAAGGACATATCAGTCGATACTACAGTGGTAAATGAAAAAAGTGACTTTCAATAAGTATTGTTATAATCTACATTGAATAAAAAAGTTTCTGTTTCTGTTACTAAAATACACAATTCCACAAAAATTTACGATATTTCGGTTTAAGTAATTTAATGAAATTAATTTTAAATTTAATAAACTGATTGAAACATTTAATTAGTTACTAATTCTACTTTAGCAATATACAATATATAAAAATAACGAATACATTAAATACGTAGACAGAGAAACCTATAGACAAATTGACGCCTTCTTTCGCATTCGCACACGAAAAAGATAGATTTATTCATACGTCTTGCATAGAAATGAGATAGAGCGGCGTGATTGTTTGTCCCTTTCTCCGTGCCGGTTTTTTTGTTTAGCAAACTCTACAGTTTGCTAAACAACTTTGACAGCGTAGCGATTTAAGGAGTTTACAAGTTGGTTTAAGTGAGAAAAAAAGGGTTTTGTGAGCTTAAGATTGGTGAATCTTGTTCAGTTCAGTTCTTAGAACAATGAAAATTTTTATCTAAATGTGTTTAAAAGTCATAAAGATTATTCTATAACCTAAAAATTCGTTATCGTTCTTTCTCACTCGAGGCCACGCCGATCATTAGTCTATAGGTTTCTCTGTCTACGATTAAATAGATGTTTTTTTTTAAATATTTATGAATAAAATGCGCACATACTAAAGGACTTAATCATATCCAAATATAAAGAAATAATATTCATAGATTATTACATGCATATCACATCACAAATAATGGGATAGGACGAGTACAATAGTATTACACATATAAACTAAAAAAATACAACTAGCAAATAGATGTTGATAGAAATGTTTGCAATGAATTAAATATATCACGAAATACCATGCACACAGTTTATAACGTTCAGTTTCCTTCTTATTTATTTTCCCTCTTATAGCAATTCAAGGAGCTTTCAACTACGTTTGATTGAATATTCTAAAAGGCACACTTTGTTTTGACTCAAATTTAATTTTATATTAATGTCATGTACATAATATATTTTTACTATACATATTCCTCTACGTCTTTAGTCATTCGCAAAATGTTATTCTTTTCAGATTTTGTTTTAAAATTCTCTTTGAGTTTCTGACCAGACAATCTGGGAGGTATTTTAGTTTCTGGTACTGGTACCACAGTGAATTTTTTTATTTTGTCGTGCACGTTGCCACTCGTCCATTTCGGTACTATAGGTTTCACGTCAGTAATGTGAGGTGAGTACAGTCGTTTATGCATTGGAATCGTCCTTTCATGAGTATTTTGACCCGACTCAAAAATTTTCTTAGTTTCACTGACTTTAACCCGACGTTTAACGGTTGGTGGTCTACGGCGTGATCTTGAAGCCTCTAGTGAAGTAATTGAACTTCGACAAGAACTATTTTCAGAATCCGTTTGCATCCGTCTTATATGTTTTTGGAACATATCTATTTTCGATTGCGCTTTCTTGTGGCAAACATCAATCTTATTCTGTACTATTGAATGTTCTTCGCTGTAAGTCTTTATTTCAATTTTAGGTTTTATTTTCTTCGGTTCCTTATCGCGAATTTTATCATTTCTTGACTGATTAAAATTAAATTTCTTAGATAAACCAGATATCAAACCTGGTTTAACGAAACTTTTATTAATACTCTCCTCTTTATCAGGACTTTTGGGCAGTTCTTTGTGTACTTGTAATGGCATGTTTGGTGTCTTTGATGTTATAGTTAGGTCAGGAGACTGAGATCGTATACTCTGCGTATCCATCGAAACGCGAGCTTTTATTTGTTTCCTTTTTTGCCTATTGATAAACTGTAGCGGACTTTTGGAAGGTTTTATCTTAGGTTTATTATCATCACTTTCATCGCCGTAATCTTTAACCTCTACTGCTACAATAGTTTCCTCTTCGCTCGATTCGGTGAATGATACATCATCAAAATCTCCTGAATCTAAATGTTCTCTAACGATCTTATCAACATTAAACTTAGCCATCATTGTGGTTTGCGCTATCAAACCTTTACCTGGGTTAGACCTTTCAGTAATACTATCTGCATCTTCAACGTAGTTTAAAAACTTGTTAGGCGCTACTACTTTTGGTACTTTATTAGAATAATTTAACACAGTTTTTGGAACATGGCATGCACTAGAGTCTTTAAATTTGAGATCATGCCCAGAAAAGCCAAAACGATCATCGCTACTTGCAAAAGGTTTCCGTTTGGTTATATCATTGGCTGATATGTTTAAAGTGTGGTAATCACCTTTAGTATCATGGCTGGAAGTTTGAGAGTGTCCTCCACCCCTTTTAACTTTCGGAGATCCTCTAGGTGGAACAGGAGGAGGGACTCTCTGCTTTTGAGATCCTTTCAAAACTGCCGGGAAGGCGACGTCTGGCTCTGACGGTGTAGTCTTAGAAGGCACTTGAGTAACTTTCGCCGCTGTCGAAACTGGCGATGTAGCTGACGTAGGCGTAATATGTGCTGTGACATCAGACAGAGAGACTAAAGGGGCACAAAAACACTCGAGTATTTGTATAGGTTTATTTCAATATCAATAAAATTGTATAAACAGATTTGGCACGATTCAAGGAAAATATTAACAAAGTAGATATAACAAATAAAATTTTGTGTTAAAAATGGAAGCGTTATTAGTTACGATAGTAGATTGAAATTAAATTATATATCCAAAATAGCATGTTTGTATTTATATTTTTTAGATGGAGCTTGACCGTCAACGCATTGTATTTATTATTGGTGCATTATTGAGATTAGTGATTTCAGATAGACAAAATAAACAGCATGCAGAGTTGTAGGAGTGAGGTTAAAGTAAAACGATACCCAATAAGTAAAAGATCCGATAGGTCAATAGCAGCATGAAAAAAGAATTAATGACATTAAGGTTAAAGTTGTTATCCATATCCTATAAAACATACGTAAATTTTTTAATTCATGATTAAATCATAGTAGAATTTACAATATATTTTTTAACACTTGTACTCACTACCGGGTGCACTGCACCTAGTATATTAGACTTATTCCAAAACTGTTTTATTAACGTAAATGGTTACTTTCTAATAAGGATTCAATATGTGTAAAGAAAAATATAATTGAATCCAATACTAATAATATTTGTTTTTACTTTTGTAAATATAAGCTGTCACAAAAATATACTAAATTTCTTCATAGTTTTGTGACTTGTTATTTCATACAAAATCTTCTATATTTTCGTACACAATAATGTACTTATTTATACGAAATAGAGATCAACCATCGTAGAAATATTTAGAAAAAAAATAACAAGAATACAATATCATCTTTGAAGTAAAATCACATTTTCCAACATTCTATTGACATTTTTTATATTATCTGATTACCAATGTCGTTATTTTCAGTGCTACACTATCGTCGAAAGGTACTAAGAGCGGCAACGTTGGAAACGACTAATTTTAATAGTTATTAAGCTAAATATTGTGGGCCCATTAGCGACTCGTTCAAATCAAATCAAATTATTTATGTATATTTATTTGAAATAAAATTTTGCATGTATAAGTTAGGATATAAATTGTCTTAAAAGAAGGACTAACTTTTTAAACCGGTATGGTAAAACTTTGTGGCATTCCCTAGGGAAGGCCTTGTTTGACTTGTGATGGGTTACAACGATGATCATGGTAAAGCTTTATTTCAAACGCAATTACTATATTATTGCAAGGCAATTATAAAGAGCTTTAATATACTAGTCTAGGAGGATTCGGCGCATGAGTACCGAATAGTATACGACCGCAATTTTTTATGCGATTCTCTTCAAATTGTCCTCCTGATGATATAAATACTATGCAAAAATCGGTTTAAACAATATGACACCGAGTTGCCCCATGGCAACATACTTTACTTACTCCCGAAATTGATTTTCTATTTAAATTGACATTGTTTCAAATCTAAATTTATAATCTTACTCCCGAACAGTTTGAGTCGAGAAACACGATCGAGTTACGATTAAGCGTTATCAGCGCCTTTAGGCACATCCGAATATTTTTATACATTTTAAAAATTCGCTTCTTAATTATTTTTACTATATAAGTGGAACAAATTTACTAAAAAAAAGCATTTTCGTCGCTTGCTATTACAAGTGCCGATATAGCGAGTTTCGTTCAAATAATTAAAACTTGAACCACAATTCGATCGCGCGCTTACTACAGAGTATTATAATTACGTAGAGTTCGATTAATATTGGATTGATTTAGAGCTCGACTCTGTTAGGTACTATCGAAGATTTTACGTGAGCCACACTCACACGGAATACAGCGTAAAATAGAAGTTTAATGCTGCTGTGTTTCGTACAGTGACTGAAGAGATCCGGAGACCCTTTTCAATGAAAACGAAGCATTCCATCTTAATCCTCGGACGTAGCAACGCATCTGTATTTGGATTCTTAATCGAAGAAATGTCAATGGACCACATGATCCACTTACCATCAAGGTGGACTGTGTGCTCGATGGTGACTCTTATCCTGTAGAAAAATCCAGAAGTCAAGGTATTCGTGTCTACAGATTAAAATAGACGAACCTAATTTCAGTCTCACCTGCTTTAACTCCGACGCCGCCACTCGAACTTGCCGCGCCTAATCCGTTACGACAGCGTGCAAATATTAAAATATTATATTCGTAGAACTAATATAGTGTTTATAACATAATATTGTTATTGCTCATATATTAAGTTGTTTCACTCCATTTTAGAAAACGTTGAAATTTGTTTGCAATCAGTATATATTTAATCCGATGCAACAACAGTTATCAATAAAAATTAATGAAATAAAAACTGTTTTATTATTAATTAATTAAAGTAGAGGACATCATAGAATAACAAAATTATTTGCATTTCATTAAAATTAAAGTTAAACTTGAAAAGCCGAATAAGAAGCTGAAGAGTTTTCGAATAAAACAACCGAATAAATTTTAAATCTCCTTTATTTCAACATAAATAAATATTGGTCATAATCTTGTAGGCGTGTAAACATACCTCGATATAAAACAAGTTACCAGCACTGCCAACATTTATACAGATAGTAAAGCACGATCGAAAATAACTAAAATAAATTATTATATATCACGGCTCAGAATACACAAACTCGATAACATCATTTTTGCCTCACATCATACGTTTCACGAATATTTGGTATTTATCATTATATAGAAATTCGACTTATAATATGTATTTTATCACACTGGTCTTGAACATTACATACCATTACACACTTATACGCTAACATGGTTGACATCAAAATTAAGGAGCTGACGAACAAAACGGTATAATAACATGACATGAAATTAAATTTTACAGGAGCAGTAAAAAACTGAATGACCTACATTTTTTTTAAATATTAGCAATGCTATCAACGTCACTAATATTCCGTTTAACCACTCCTGGTAAACTTATAACGTTTGTTAGGAGTGGTTCACCACAGTAGTTGAAAGGTGGATTCGAACTTACGACTTTTTGAGTTCGCGGTCCGCACCTACAAATGTTATCCCACAAATTTGTATGAAAATTATTCCATTTTGAATGAAAACGCACTGGCTTATTCAAAATTGTTGAAATTTTATTGTAATTATCCTCCTGACCCCTCGCGGGTTATGAAAACATCAATTAAAACAAAATCTCATGTACATATAAATTATCTTTTTGTTTTTTCCCGCACGGTCACACTGTTATTGAACGCAACTCTGAAAAGAAAAACATTTTGACAGTTCTCAATTAATACTTTCGCTGCAAAATGGAGGAACAACACAGGTGCCGAAATTTGTGGGCCGAACAAAGTAAGCGATCAATGAATATTATAAAAATCCTTAATGACTTTTCAATTACTATGTTTATTTTCTAAAGATTAGGGACTAATTAACTGAACTGTAACTGAGACTTATTTTTGATCTAATCTCTTTTTTTTATTAACTTCATAACCTTACGTTTTGATATATGATGATAGTTTATTTACTATTTCGATGTCCTACACATATGTCATTCGTTGTAATTTATGTTTATTTATATTTTTCAGTATTAGATTTAGTGAACGATTCAGAGTTCGATTTCTCGTCGGTTGACTCCGAAGATAACTCCACATATAAAAGAAACAAGAATGGTAATCATTCAAGTTCATCTCATGACGTATACATGTAACGTAGTCAAGGTGTTAAGCGTAAGGCAAGGGGTTTAGGCCTTGTTAAGGGCCGAAACTGCTTTGCAGATTTTCATAATTAGTTATATTATATAGATTAAATAAACGTTTAGTTAGTTGTTTGATCTAAGAATCCATATGTATGATCTCATTAAATTTGCTTAAAACCTAGTTTTTATGTTTTGAGAGACTTAAGTACATAACGTACTATTAGACTGATGATGAGAACTTCTTTTAAATTAAAATATGTTTCAAGGTTTTGTGATTTGACTTCGTTATTATTTACCCCGAAACAATTATACATAAGACATTTAAATAATTAATTGACACCGAATGTTCTATAGGGACAACTAGAAAACCCAATAAACCACATCAAATACTTTTTTAATCATTTTTCCCTACATTTTAATACCATTTTAAATAAATCTACCATGTTTTATTAAATTCGGAAACATTTGATACCTCCAGGTGTTAGGTTATACCGTTATGAGTGAAACCACGAACTTTGGCAATTTTAACTTATATTTACGCCGCTCTGCTTGGGAATGAGTTGAGATTCGTATTTAGCAGGCCAAAAACCTCTGAATTAGAAAAGTATTTTGACCAGAAGCATAATTATACCGTACTGTTCGTCAGCTCCTCAATAATAGTAATTTTGTAGTACATTGCATCGTATGTTTCATAAGGCATGGTAGCTCTTATAAGATTTTTTTGGATACGCCGCAATGTATGCCATATGACTCATCTTGATGTCAACCAAGTAAGCGAAAAGGCTTGCTGAGCCCGCGTATTCACCGTTTTCAAATAATAATAAACAAAGTAACCATAATAAATATTCAAGTATGCTGCATAATGCTATTTAGAGACAAGAGTAAGGATCTGTGCTCAAGGACACTGCATCAATATAAGCAAGGAGTTTCTTTAATATATATATATATATATATATATATATATATATATACACATTGTGTCCAGGGAAGTAGTAATCAAACTTTAAGTGCGTGATCTATGGACAATTTTATCGATAAAAATACCTTAAGTCAGGGGTTCAAGCCCACTGTTGCTTAGTTACAAAATTTAAAAAAAAAAATTCTCATTTTTAGCTTTACCTTCAAAAATAGGCGACAGTGCGGGCATATTGAAACTGATAACGAGCAATTTGGTGTCATTCGAAAGCTAAGAAGTTAAACTATCAGTAAAAATATGAAACACACATAGTTGTCATACATTTTGAGAAAGTTAGGATTGATTAAATTAAAAAACTTATGATATTTTTAAATTATGAAAATTCTTTGTAGTAGTTCATCCCTGGAGTTCACTGGTTCGAAATAAACTTTTTGCTTCAAATGACCTCAAAGAAAAAAATCTAGTGGGGTCAGGTCAGGCGAGCGCGGAGGCCAACTAACAGGACCTTCACGACCCACCCACCTTCCTGGGAATGTTTCGTATAAATGCTGACGCACATTTCTAGCAAAATGGGCCGGAGCACCATCCATCTGCAGCCACATCCTACGTCGATAAATGAGTGGTAGAACCATCAAGGCTTCGGAAAAGTCGTTTCTTAAGAAATTTAAAAAATTTTCACCGTTCAAATTTGGCGGCAACTCAATGGGTCCGATTAGTTGATCATCTATCATTGCAGCCGAAATATTCACGGAGAAAAAAAAAATTAAATTCTTGTAACTAAGCAACAGTGGGCTTGAACCCCTGACTTAAGGTATTTTTATCGATAAAATTGTCCATAGATCACGCACTTAAAGTTTGATTACTACTTCCCTGGACACACTGTATATATATATATATATATATATATATATATATATATATATACATTACACACACAGGGTGTTAGTGTAAACACCGTTGTCCTTGAAACCAGTGGTTTAGTTTCACTTATAGAATGTAAATTCAATGAAAAATAACATTTTTTTTTTTAGTAAAAACTCAATTTTTCCTTAATTCCTCAATTTTTGCTTGTCCTAAGCCAGGTTGAAATTATGAAGGAAAAGTTACATCACAGGTTATGTGTACCTATTGTGTTTTTATTTTGAATGTTGTGTAGGTAGCTAGCGCGGGCGGTGATCTTTACAGTGATTACGTCCATGAATTTACGGACGGTGTCGGAAAGAAACTTTTTAAATTTTATGAAAGGAAATAGCGTTTTTTTTAATTAATTGAATTTATGTTCTATAAGTGAAACCAAACCACTGGTTTCAAGGACAACGGTGTTTACACTAACATCCTGTATATATATTGTTATTAATTTTCATCCACTGACATAAATAAATGGGTGCATATGGAATAATCTGTAGGCACATACCCTATAATAGGTTATTATATGTGGAATCTCGTTACAATATATTCGATACATTTTATAATATACAGTATAATTAAGTAATGGACGCCTCCATACACGATCACAGTATATCATACAATTGTTTAGAGGTAGCTTATTATTAATTTAACAGATTATGTATTAATTTTACAAAGGAATTTCCTATTACATACACCATTCCAAACCATACCAGAAATTTTCTTGAGATATGCAAACTTTTATTGCTGTAATACATACAAATTCTATGCCTAAAACTTATAAAAACACAAATCAGTTGTGTGGTGGGGCGGTACTGTGTGAAAAAAAAATGTTTTTTTTTTACTATCTTCTATGCCACTTTAGTTTTATTTCAGAATCAATAAATTAAATGTATACAATCCTAACTTCCACACTATTTTAGCTACACCATGTTAGCTTTTGTGACAAAAGGAATGTTACATGAATTAAAATATTATAACAGATAAGTCAACATTATAACAACATAATTTAAACGATTGTAATTAAAAATAAACATATTTATATATCTTTTATTGCGTGATTAATATAAATTTAAATAATACGTAACTTTGTTGAAAGTGATTTGACGGTTTCTAGGATTCGGAAGTTGAATTTCTCATAATCTTCCAATACAGAATAAGCCGCCGTATAAATTATTCCTGATTAACAAGAATAACTTCTTTTTGTCAAATTCATTTGTCACTCAATAAATTTAATTTGATTAATAAATAAAAATCGGATAGTTGACACAATCATCGAAAATATTTTTAAAATATCTGAATTAGCTTTTTAGTAGTGTTTCGAAACTGCCTTTTTTAATAACTTCTTTTTGTCAAATTTATTTGTAATCAATAAATGTAATTTGAATAAATAACAAAAATTATATAGTTGACACCATCATTAAATTTTTTTGAAAAGAATCTGAATTGGCTTCTTTTAGTAGTGTTTCAAAACTCCCTATTCTGATTTAGATCAAATTGTTTGTCAAAATATACAAATACGTTAAATACTCGTTTATTTCATTACAACAAACTAATACGTCATTAACTCCTAGTCTCATCTCATACAGTTTATATACAAAACTAGCTTAAATGGCAGACGTTGTTTGCCAAATGTAGGTGGCGCGATGAGTTTCTAAATTATTTCCGAACTTTTTAGTGTAAAAATACAAGAACATCGTATCGACAAAGCAAATATAGTGTGCGAATATGACCTCAATAGGTCACAATTTACACGAACATTGACAGACGCACAAACGATTATATTTATTTACAAAACTTCATTACGAATTCATAAAATGTTTTCTATTTCACATGAGTGTTATTACTGGGGGAGATTATGTACAGAAATATATTGTCAGCATCTGCTTATAACCTCTGAAAAGAACATACCATAAACCAAAACAATCACATAAACGGAAAATTCTGACCCTTTCATTGACTTAAATGTTCATTAAATAGTATTTAGGTTATACGAACCTAACCATATGTGTATCTAACACAATATTGTTACATAATCTGATTTAACGTTATTTGCTTTCTGTTTCAAGATTTTATAAGCAAACAAAAAAATCTTTCGCAGCGAGTTTAAAAAGACAATAAATATTTTTAAATGCATGTTTATCAAGTCAAAAGTTAACTTTTACTGCACCAAGTAATCTACTTTACAATGTTATATTGTCTAACATTTACAAGTGGACTTCAACGCAATTTTCCTTTTATTCACATCTACATACTTATCCTAATATATCGTCTCATCATTTCAATCTGCAGGAGGAACCACTATAATTGTGCTACCGCTGTCATTTCCGGAGTAAATGGCGGCCTTTTCCAAACTCCTCACATATACGACCTCTTTAACAAGCCTCTCTGGTTCCGAGTCTCTGATATGTTCGTCACCGTTCAGCTGGACTACAGATACGTGCTCTTTTGTCTGTGTTTCGTGGTCAGTTTTCATTGGAATTGGCGATTCTGTTCTGATATAGACAGTCTGCGTCGACCTCACTTTTCGGAACCTCATGTCCTTCGGGAGCGTCGACGCGTCCCGTGTCTCGGTTCTTATTGGGGTGACACTCCTGGTCCTGTAACTGGAGTTCAGACTTTTCGGTAGCGTACTGGCATTCCTCTCAGTCGTCTCGGTGTTCGTCGCTGGTGTACTCTCAGCTTTCACTAAGCCTATATCCATGAAGAATTTCTTAAATTTATCAACAAAAGTTGGGGATTTCGCTCTGTTAAAACTGCTCGAAAGTCGTTCATTTGAATGCTCTTTCGAGCTGACTTCGTCTATTCGCTCTGGTATGTTCGACATGCTTTTGTGTTTCTCTAGAATATTCGACCGCTTCTTCCACTGTTTTTCGTCGTCGTCATCATCAATGAATGGTATATCTTGTAGGTTGTTTTCGTTTCTCGTATCGACCGCAGCGTCTTTTAATATTTTAATAACTGGGGCCAAGATGTTATTCGCATCAGCTACGTATATTTGTGGAACGCTTGTACTAGTGTTGTCAGTTTGGATTCCGCTGTCCGCCAAGCTACCGTTTATGTGCGAACTGCCCGCTCCGGTACTTAACACTTTTGTCAATTGATCCGATAAGGATTCCATTCTATCTTGAATCGAGGAACGGAACACATTGTCCGCGTACGAGGTTCCAGGTTCTCTGGCCGTCAGATTCGATGTGTCGAAGTCGATGCGCCTTTGGAAAGTGCCTATTCGATCTCGGTCGGGTATTTTTAATCTGTCAGATAGTACTGACGGGTATTCGGTTGGTATTTGAGGGAACTGGTGTCTCTGATTCCATGTTGATATGGTTGTGTCGGTAAAGTCACTCATGCTAGATCTTAGGGAAGATCTCGGCGACAATCGGGACGTTTGCCTCAGTAGTAGATCAGGGTTATAGTCCATAATTGTTCTGCCGACGAGTTTTCGTCCTGCGTAACAGACGGCCAAGTTAAAAGGAACAATTAGTCTGCATTTGGACTTTTTTGATACATTTCAGTTTATTTCGTTTCACCCAACGGGCAGTTCTGACCGTGCCGTTCCTGCTTTCGGCTTTCACACTCACCAACACTTTAGAACATAGAAACTTCACCAATTTTTTGCGTAGCGTTAAAAACACTTATAACACGCAGAGCCAAAGGGGTGCAACTACAAATCCGAAATTAAAAATAATAAAACAAAAAATTGAAATAGAAAATAATTTAAAAAAAAATCACAACAGCGTGAAGGTCACAAACACCGGAAGGGATTTAGGGTGGGGACAAAATAAACTGAAATGTATAATAATAATAAATAGGTAGGTACTTAACATAAACTCGCATCCACTAAATGTTAGGAATAGTTTAAGTTTCTAGCTACTCATAAAGGTTAAATAAAAATATACGACTATTTTGTTAATATATTGACTACAGTATTAGTTTTAACTGAAATGAGCACCTGATGTATAGTGTACTTAGTAACTTGTTTTTAATTACCATATTTATTGTTAACAATTTAAATCACGTACCTGGAGTATCGATCTCCTCTTGTGGCTTTACCGGCTTCGCGATGCTTTTTCTCTTCGATGGCGAATGTTTCAGGGCTAAAAACATATTAAAATGCTTTATACACGGTGATATATTTTTTCGATTCACATAGATAGTATTGTGGTGTTATTCAAAGATTTTTCATTACAAAATAAATAATTTTAACAAGAACATCTTCTCTTAATCACCGTTTTTTTTTTAAACATTAATAACATCACAACAATTCTAAAATAAATAAAACTACAGAGTTAAGATTGTAAATACTAATGAATACATTTTTTGTA